AGAGGTGATAGGGCGGGGTGGTTTCAGTGGCCAGCTTTGGACTGCTTGAGGTGTATAGCACCAACTAGCCCTTCATATAGCATGGCATCTCCAGGTGCAAACTTTTCTCTGAGTTCCAGAGCCTGGAATTTTTATTGATCTAACTACAGGAATTGCATTGACAATTGACACAAGCATCTCCTGATGTGCAAACCATCTCTGCTTTGGCATTTGATTAAGAAGAGACAGAAGTGAGAGAAGAAATGCACTAGGGGTACTTCTGACCTGCTGATTGTGCTAGAAAGCATCTCTCTTGTCACCCCTTGATTCTGTATTGCAGGAAAATTGTTTAATTCTGCTCAGGAGACAAACATGCCCTGTGAAAGTCCTGAGGGACTATAGATATTAAAAGTATTTTTTCTTTCCTTATAATCTGAGTTTCAGTAGATGCTGTTTTGAATAAAATATCAACAATTAAATGTAAGTCTTCTAGTCTGTGTTTTTGGGAAAACACCAGGAAGAACTGTGAGGAATCATAGAATCACAGAATGGGTTGGAAGGGACCTTAAAGATCTTCTAATTCCAAGCCCCCTTCTCCATGCCCTTTCTTATTTGCCTTGGTGCCTCCCCTCTGCAGCTCTGTGAAGACCTGGGACAGGCGCAAACCATGCGGATCCTGTACCTGCTCTTCCCTTTCATCCTCCTCTTGGTCCAAGGTGCTGCAGGTGAGAAGAGGAAAGTTGGGGTGAGGTGCGAACTCACATGAATGGGGTTCTCCGTGTCCTTGGGAAGTGATTTGCCAGAGATGGGTAATGATTAGGAGGGGATGGTTCTGATGAATGGCTGGGATTTGGGGTTTGTTGCTTTGTGCACATGGTTGGCTGAGATCCATGGGCAGTATCAACCCCTCTAGAGCCACACACAATTTTTATAGGTATCTCATGCTCATTTTCTTTAACTTTTGCTCTGTGCAGGATCCTCCTTGGCTCCGCGAAACAAGGAGAAATGTCATCGAGAAAAGGGCTTCTGTGGATTTCTGAAGTGCTCTTTCCCCTTTATTATCTCAGGAAAATGTTCAAGATTTTTCTTTTGCTGCAAAAAGTAAGCTTTGGGATTGGAGATGAAGTTGGGCTGTGACTGTGATAGCAGAAATAGCAGCAGTTGTGTTTAAGCCCCAAGCCTCACTACTGGCTTTGTGCTGTACACACTCCAGGGCAGAAGCCAGGGGAGGTGGAAGTATCTAGGAAAGGAGAAGGTGCCCTGTGAGGAGCAGGAGGAACCATAGGTCAGACAGCACCTTCCCCATTCCCCTCAGCTCCATGGGGCTGCCTGACCTGGGGGCTTTCAGAAAGAAATGAAAGAAAAGAATGAAGGCTGTCCAGTTGGTAGCATGAAGCACAGGACCTGATGTCTCTGCAAATCCTTGTAAACAAGGTTGCAAACAAGCCACCTGCAATACAAACTGATTATCTCCATTGGGATTAGTCTTGAAACGTCATTGCCATTGTTATCCAGAAGTGATATGCACTAAGAGATTAAAAAAAAAAAAGAAGGAAAACAAAAAAGCAGATGACTTCAAAGTGTGTTTTCTTTCTGCAGACTGTTCGGTTGAACAGCTGGACTTTCAAAGCAGGATGTCCCCCTCGCTTCTCACTCCTGGAAACGGCTCCTGATGTCCTCTCCCTTTCCCATCCCTGCAGTCTGTGTGGGGCTGAAGGACCCTAAGCTTAGCCAGCACCTCCCCATTCTGCTCTGCCCCACAAGACTTGCCCAGCCTTTGCAGAGGACTCTACCTTGCTGGCAAAGGTTTAAGGTTGCCCCTTGGAGGTGGTGAAGGACACGGTCCTGTTCTTGATGCTTCTGCAAAGACTTGGAGTCAGGGCTACCAGCACTAAGGAGGGCACAGTTCTCAGCCATCAGCAGGAAGGCCATGAGTTCGCCTCTGGGCATTTGACTCTTGAGTCTCAAGACTCGTTTGTCCTTGGAGAGAAGGTAGGAGAGAGACAAAAGGGAGAAGTTTCAAGGAGGTGATAAGCTTTCTTCTTTCTCTGTACAGGATATTTGGTTGATGCCCTGAATGCTGTGAGCAGGATGTCCCCCTCGCTTCTCGCTCCTGGAAACAGCTGCTGACGTCCTGTTCCATGGGCCTGCTGTGGTTTGGCCAGAGGCTGCTTTTCCCTGCTCAAATAAAGGCGTGCAGTTTGGCATTGCAGCTGGTGGGAAGCGTGAGCGTGTCCTTGTGCCAGAGGGTGCCCAGGGCTGCTGTTCCCCACCAGCGCCGTGGGGACGCCGGGGCTGGCAGTCCCTGTGGGGCCAGGCTGTTTGCTGTGGGTGAGGAAGGGGAGGGCGAGCGGGAGCCCTGTGCTGGTGCTGCCGGGCACAGGTGTCCCCATGCTTCTCTCAACCCATCCTTCTCTCAACCCCACATCCCTTCTGGAGGGGTCTGATCCTCCAGGCAGCCCACAAGGAGTCCTTTATTGTTCTTGGAGGGAATATCACAGAATCACAGAATTTCTAGGTTGGAAGAGACCTCAAGATCATGGAGTCCAACCTCTGACCTAACGCTAACAGTCCCCACTAAACCATATCCCTAAGCTCTACATCTAAACGTCTTTTAATATCATACAATCATAGAATCTTAGAATGGCTGGGGTTGGAAGGGACCTTAAAGATCACCCAGATCCAACCCCCTGCCATAGACAGGGACACCACACACTCAATCAGGTTGCTCACAGCCTCACCTAACCTGGCCTCAAACACCTCCAAGCATGGGGCATCCACAACCTCTCTGGGCAACCTGTGCCAGTGCCTCACCACCCCCTGAGTGAAGGATTTCCTCCTCAACCCTAATGTAAATCTCCTGTCAAGCAAGGGACCTTGTCAAAGGGCTCAAGCTTAAAAGAAATTCTCCAGTGGTGTTTGGGAGGGACCTGCTTATCACAGCTGCTTCTCATGCAGCAGTGTGATTCAGTGCCATCTAGCAGCTCCACGTGAATCCTGGCTTTGAAAACAGGCAGCTGAACCTCATAAAGGGTTGAGATCATTCCCTGCATTTTTCCTGAGATGGTAATCCTGCACTTGGGGGCACCAGGGTTTGGGACATTCCCTAGGAGGGAATTTCAGTCTCGTCAGGATGGGAAATAACTGCATCTCTATGTTGTACTTAATGATATGTCTGCTTTCCTACAATACTCAAAAAGCAGACTTGTGTCAAGGTGGAGGTTGAGGCTTGAAAAATCACCAAAAAGAAGTTTCTGCTTGAATTGAACTTAAGGGAAACCTTGACAGCTAGCGCCTGGCTGCACACCAACTCCTCCTGTGTTGTGAAATAACCACAATTCTTGTCCTTCATGTTCATGGTGTGTGCTTTGTCCACAGACCTAACCACGGAAGGTTACCTTGTGGAGTGCTGCTGCTTGAGGGAATGTAAGCATTTAAATAAACATTATTCTGCTTATCTGCTGGTTAAATAGTAAAAACTGTTTTTTGTTTGTTTGTTTTTAGTTAGATAATTCTTTTCTACACTTGCATTTCCCAGCAAAACTTATGAGTTATCCTGAAATCACCCTGATACTTTTAGACACAGTTTCATGGCTTCCTCTCTGTTTCGGCGTCTTTTCTCTATGTTAATTCAGAGTGCTGGGTTTGCTTTCATCCCCAGGGCTGCTATATCTTACTCTTTTCTCTTAATTATGTCATGAGCCAGCACCGTGTGCTCACAGCACACCAAGCCACCCACCCCTGGGCTGCAGCAGTGTGGCCAGCAGGGCAAGGGAGGGGATTCTCCCCCTCTGCTCTGCTCTCATGGAATATTTTATTTTATTTTATTTTATTTTATTTTATTTTATTTTATTTTATTTTATTTTATTTTATTTTATTTTATTTTATTTTATTTTATTTTATTTTATTTTATTTTATTTTATTTTATTTTATTATTTTATTTTTATTTTTATTTTTTGGGGGGTGTTGCTTCTTTTCACTTCCCATACTTGCTTCCTAGCATGTGTCGCAAGGCCAATGGGGAAAAAGGAGAAAGGAATCCTTGTCCTATTTAAGAGTTGCCCTAGTCACTATGCTACCTGAATTTGGCATGACAGCCCCTGCCTTTGGCTATCATACAGAAATGACAGGGAAAAAAAAACAGGATATGAGTTTTTATATCACTACATAAGAAATTATACCACAGAGGATTAGAAGTCAGATGGGACACCTGAAGATAAGATTGTTCCCACCTAAGAAGTGCAAAGTGGGACATATAAGTGCTGTGTTTTTGGCACGCAAACAAAATGACCTCCTGAGCAGCGTGTCAGAAATGTGTGTATCCCAGCTGAGAGCTGGAGGCAGCGTGTCATGGAGTGGCAGAGGAAATAATTCAGAGAGACAGGAAAAAGCTATAACTCTCCAGCTATTGGTTTTTATGCATCTTCTCAGAGGGACAGGTGAAAAATAAAAGGCAAAACTTACACCTTTTGCTGTGAAACTGCAAGACAAACAACTTCTGGAGAGCAAAGAAGTGTCTGAACCTGTTGCATTATTAAAAAAAATAATAAGAAAATAGGCCTACATCTTTCTAGGGATGCTCACAGGCAGCTTCCAGCAGCCACAGCACTGAGTCCCTGAGTCCCATGTGCTGACGTTTTAACACATGATGGATATCTTTTTTTTTTTTTTTTTTAAGTTATTTCTATTCCTCTTTCCCAAAAGAAAAGAAAGGGTTTCTGCATGTTTTTGTTTGTTTTGTTTTGCTTTAATTTGTTTGTTTTGGCAAATTTGGCAAATTTTGGCATCTGAGTACCTTCCCACAAAGGGAAGCTGAGTTCTTCCAGCCACTTTATCTCTGTACTTAAGGGAAAGGTCCTAAGTCTATGTCTGTCTAGCCCTTGACAGCTACATATCCATGAAAAACCCAAATTAAGGAGCAGTTGGCACACTGTAAATTGCTAACCTTTGTGGTTCGTGTATCAAACCCCAGGTACAGTCATCACCCTCAGCCCATGCAACAGACACCCACGTTTCAGCAATGTGAATGCTACGCAATGGCAATTTATTCAAAAGGAGGAAAGGCAATGCAGAATACCTTTGGATTTACTCTATATCATAAAGCTTTTTGCATTGAAAACGAGAGGTGCTTGAGACATTGTTGTAGCAGGATCCACTGGTTGTAACAGGAAGGAGATTCAGAGAAAGTTCCTGGAAGAAATTTTCATAGCTCTTGAATGGAAAGTCCATGAAGTTTTTATACATCCCATGGCCTGCACAAAGAGAGAAAAAAAATGTATTTGCATTCCTTCCCTACTTAATCGCAGTCCATGCATATTTTCCTCCTGCGTATATACATTCCCAAATACCTAATGCCAGGTGCAAGTCAGGCTGGGGCAGCCTTGTGCTCTCACACCTGTGAGTGGGAGCGGTGCTTTCCTATTGCTCCAGGAAAAGCAGGGAATTAAATTGCTGTCCCTTGATATTGGGCTGAACGCGTTCATTCCCGAGTGAAAATAGAACAGGTTATCTTTTGTCTGAGAGTTTCTTTTTATGACATAGTTGCATTTTTTCTGCACACATCTGATAACACTCAGATCTCTGTTCACCCTGCAGTAAAACTGAATTCCTATTTGTTCCCCAAGCACCACAGCAACCCAGCTCTGAAAATATTAAACCCTGATATTTTGCTCCATCATAGGAGCTATAAAGGGGTCAAAGCGAGATGGGGCAGCACATGGTTGACATTTCTGACTATACTTTGCCCTTCTTGCTGAGACACATCATGGAGCACATCTCAGGAGAAAGAGCACCACAGAGCTTTGTTAGCAACCTACTGCAAGAGCAGATGGTCCTCATGACATATTATTTTTTTCTTATGTTCGATCTGAACATACAATGGCACTTTGGGTTTAAAGACATGGGCAATGAATGTTTGTCTGCTTTGGATGAACCTCACTGAACGTAAAACTCACAATTTGCAGCAGGAGCGGAACCCAAAGCAACTTCCAACTCTGACCAGGTGGATGGGACATCTTCCGAAGTGGCAGGAGCCTTTCCTACAGAGAAACATGTCCCGCTGGGGCAAAGACAATCCTGCAACAACAAGAACAAAGTTATTTCCCTCCGATTCTGCAGGGCAGGGCGAGTGCAGTCTCAGTGCCAGCAGGACTTCCCATTCATTGAGCTGCCTTCACCAATAACTGCTCTTAAGGACAGATGCCCAGATTTGGCCGTGTGGAAAGGACAGGTAAGAGCTCCCAAAGCAGATTTAAAAATCCTTCCCCTTGTCCTTCCACGTGTCCATTTTTACATGGACTCTTCTGCATTCCAGTGACAGCATTTTAAGGAAGGAGGTCATACTGACAAATGCCTATGTGGCATTGCTGAACACTCAGGGGTAGGTCTCCCAAAGTCCCAACCCTGTATCTTGGTCATGGAGCCAGAAATTCCAGCATTAAAGCACAGGCTGGGAAAGACACAAACCTCCTGGCTCCTTGTCCTTTACCTTAGGGAACAGAGACATGCCTCAGAGGCTTCACTACTGGTTCCTATCCAAAAATAGATGGCCAGTCTTCATTTTTCCCCACATATGCACCACTTTGTTGTTCAAAAACCATGGCCAGCACAGGCAGAGTATCAAGTGTCTAACTCCAGAACATTTAGCACAAACATTTTAGGAAGACAGCAGCAAGGAGGAATTGTTATTGTTGTTTTTGTCAGCAATCATCATTTCTCAAACTCTGAAAGAGTTTTCAGAGGGGATGTGGACAGCACAGGCACCCAGCTGAGTATTTGATTAACTCCTGTTGGGTTTCTAGTAATTTTAACTAATAGTGCTTAAAATGCACCAGGGAGCTTGCTTCAGGTGCATAAAAATCCCTTCCTAGCATCCTTTTGTTCCTTTTTCATCTTACCTGGAGAAACCTGGAGCACCAGGAAAAGGACAGAGAAGAGCAGGTAAAGGATCCTCATGGTTGCAGATCTGCTGAGCCACTATAAGGAAGAGGACCAAGAAAGGTGTGACAGACAGCCCTCAAACCTACTGTCCTCTGAACTGCACAAACATTGTATTAATCAAAATGGCACTTATATTACTTTTTCTTCAATCTTTCAAACATACCCAGTAATATCTATGTGGCCTCATGTCACCTGTGTGAGCATTTCTGGGAAAAGGAAAGATGTCTGGGGCAACATGCTTTCGGGGTATGTGATTATTTAATTATTATAATTCAGATTTTCTCTCACATTTTGCAAATAGTCCTTAGCCAAAATGCAGATGTGACCTTAGGTTTGGTTAAATGTTTTATCTAATAAATAAACAACACAGCAGAAAGAGGTGATCCTACAGACAAGCTTAAAAAATACAAGAAGAAACATTCATTTTGCAACTTAAAAACTTATCAAGAAAGAGCAGCTAAAAGCTACTTGCTCAAAATCACCAGTTTTATTCTAGAATGACTGAATTTTTAAAAAGCAAACATGCAATGATTTCATTAAAACAGTCAATGATTAATGCAACCAATATTTGTAAAATGGGATAAGTTAGCCTAGAAGGGGCTTCTGGATAGGAAGGAGGTATTTAATCATATATCTTGGCATTCTGATCCAGAACAAATTATTTTCTCTTAAGCAAGGCAGGGAAACGAGGTTGTGATGGAATATTGTATTTCTGCAAATAGGATGACAGAGAGTAGCCCAAAGGGGATTTGCAATTAGTATCAGAAGTCCACTCCAAATTCTGAATATTTGAAAATATCAGGAGAAATAAATAAAGTTAACTTAATTCTGAAAATGAAATAAAGTTCTTACCATAGATACTGAATATATTCTGGTTTCTGCCTAAGCAGCCAGCAACTTCTCTGGCCCACAGACCTCTTTAAAGCAACCTGACCTAGACCCATTTTTTCCTAGGAGTTTAAGCAGAATATATTAGCTCACATTTGAACTGCTTACTCAACCTGTGTAACTGTGTAGATTAACATTTTTAGTAACTTAAAAATTTAGGTTAATAATGCAGAGTTTTGTTTGGAAAAAAAAAAAAAGGCAAAAAACACATAACAACAGAAGATATTAAAAGAAAGACTGAAAAGAACTGAGAACTTACCAGGTACTAGATGACCCCAAAGGCCAAACAAGAGCTCTTCTTGGTCCCTTCCCTCCACGGGGCTTTAGTTGTGGGATGAAAGCCTCTTTTATAACATATCTGCTATAGGTAGTGACGATTGCTTTCTCTTTCCACCAAGTCTATGTCGAGCCAATCAAAATGGGACTCATCTTTTTGGTGACTTCTAATCCAACCAGAAATGAGTTGCTTCTCGCTTCCCAGTCAAAAAGCAGGGTTTGCATCTGAGCCTGCTGAAGATTTGCTCCTGGAAAATCCCAGGTTCTTCATGCAACACCTCTTGTGACACTCCGGTTTGTGTAAGATGCGTTAAACCACAGTGGTATGTGTCAAACATCTTGGGACATATGTTGAACCATTCCTAGTTGGGAGCAACAGAAGGCACTGCAATACAGAGCATCTGTGTGCTCTCCCCGTCAGTTTATTTTCTGTACCATAAATACAGAATATAAGAACATAGAGCCTTTGGGAACAGTCTAGCTACAATCACATAAAATAATCAAAATACATCTTGGATTTGTATAGTGCCTAATTGTGTTTATTCCTTTGTTTCCACATCTTCATTTATATATATATATATATATTTAAGTTCCTAACATCTGTCTTGCTTGTTCACAGGTGAACACTGACATTCCTAGAGAAGCACCCACAGTGAAGTTTTCATTTGCATTAGCGTAGTTTTGAAGTAATACCCTGATGTTCTTCTGTGATATCATGCTGGTTCAGGTTACAGAGGGATTTTCATGCATGCAAACTATATTCTCTAGGAGGAAAGTGAACAAGATGTGTTACTTTAAAGGTGCTCCAAAGGTACTCTGAAGGTACTGCAACGCCTAGTGTGGGTTATACCACCACCAGGTCCTGTAGTGTGCATCCAGTATTTCTTTCTCTTTTAAACCTGGAGAGTTTGTACTGGGGGATTGGCAATATGAGAAGAGGCTGAGGGACCCATCTTTGTTCAGCTTGGAGAAAAAGATAGTTAAAGGGGAATCTAATTTTGTTTATAACTACCTAATGGTAGCTATGGAGGAGATGGAGCCACACTCTTACCTGAGGTTCACAGTGATGAGAGGTAACAGACACAAATTGTAGCTGGGGAAATTCCAGTTAGATGTAAAGTTAAAAACCTGTCAAAATGAGGATTATCAAATACTTGAATGGGGTCCCAGCAAGTTTATAGTATCTTGTAGGATATTCAAACTCAATTAGGCAAGGCCATAAGCAATCCTGTCTATCTTTGAAATTGGCTCTGTTCTGAAGGTGCAGCTGGGCCTCCAAGCACCCATTCAAATTTACTTTCATTTATTGTTCTATTCAAAAGCAAAATCCAATCCAAACTCAATCTGTTAATCCATACAACAGACTTGAGGAGCATCAGCCATCTCTAAGTTGTATGGATCGTTTCCTATTTACTAATCTTCCATCACACCAAGTCACTTGTTGACTTTGGCGTACCCAGCAGCTATCTAAAGGCACCAATACTAAATATTTTTTCATATCATATTTCAGTATCATATATCCTATATATGAAATATATCATATATTTCATATGATATATAGGATATATAGGATATATTATATATCCTATATATGAAATATCATATATCCTGATATGAATGAAGTAGCTTTTTATTTTCTACATATTTTAAAAAATGAATTGTTGTGGTGTGTTTTTTTTCGGTATAAAAATTTGATAGTTCAATTCCTGGTGTGTCTATGAACTTCTGACCATAAAGCAAGAAAATGGAGGGAAAGAAAATGGCATAACATGTAGTTGCTTCACAACTTGCCAAGAGTTTGTGGTTAGCTTGCCTACCAACCGTAACTGTTACTCAACCTGAAGCAGTTAGGAGCAAAATGAAGGGATAATTCCAAACTTGGCTCCTAATAGTTTTCTGGTGAAAAAAAAAAAAAAAAAGAAGAAAAAAAAAAGAAAAAGTAGAAAATATTAAGGAGGTCTTTTATAGCATCAATTTTAATTAAATTACTTAATGAAATCATTGATAAATTATTTAATAAAATTATTATTATTATTAAAAATAATATATTTTTTTAATAAACCTAATTTCAAATGCTACTACACCAAAACCTGACTGCTGTTCCACCCCTCACCTCCAGAGGACAGTTTGTGCATTGCAATGAAGGCTTCAGGCATCTTGAGGTCATTGTATTCAGGTACAGGCAAAGCAATGTTCCTCAGTTGTGTGGTGATGGCATCCCTTAACCTCCTTCATGTGTGTTGAATTCTTGCCATAAGGCATAACCATTGCATAGGAGGTGAATGCATTTTGATGCAATTGTGGAGTGTACAGTATAAAGAAATTCAGATTTCTCTAGAATCACTGCAAAAGCTGTTACCAGCTGTTGTACTACTGAAGGAGATCCACTCAGTGGAAGATAGCCAGTATTTAGATGATGTTCTGTATTTATAGGTGCATCTGTAATGGATGTAGTGCATTATAGATATCAGATAAAGCTTTGAGACAAGTTTAGATAATCTCAATTAGCAACAAATATGTACGTGGTTATAAGCTTTGATTAGTGCACTAAAACTATCTAACCAAGATGATGAATTTAATGATCCTCTAGTTATCTTGATTAACCAGGGAGAAATCATAATATGAGGTTAAAATCTCCATGGACAGATCCCACTCCATCTTCTATTTGACTTGACAGCTAAAGGTATCAAGCTAGGAGCAGAATCCAGCCCTTTGGTGCTACTGTGCCAGCAGTAAGGACCACAGAGTGGGAATGTGTTTGCTAGTGTCCTCGTCCCCTCTTTGTACCTCTTTTCTAATTTGTGTCCTGTCAGGGGTCTGATGTCATCCAAAATGTTGCTGGATTTCACTTCCATGAGGTCTCTTCAGGAACAAAATGTCTCAAGTGCCTCCAGGCCCACTGAAGGAAGTAGCTGGAGATACCTTGGCATTTTCTACACTGCTAGGCAACGATGACAGAGAAAAAGAGAATGAAAGCATGAAACCTGTCTCTGACATCTCAGTCCAAAATAGTAAAATGTCTTGAAAAAGCAGCTTTGAAACTACTGGAATGTGTACTTGTACACTAGCACCGAGCACAGAGAGAAATTAGGTTTCTTTCCTGACCATGGTCACTGCAGGAGTCTTCTAAGGATGTGGCCACTGGGGGGCAGAGGATAAAATGTCCTCACTTTTCCCTCAGGTGTGGAAGGATATAAGTGTTAGATCATAGAATCATTAAGGCTGGAAAACACCCTAAAGATCTTTAAGTCCAACCATCACCCACCACCACATCCACCACTAAAGCATCTTCCTAAACACTACATCCCCACGTCTTCTAAATGCCTCCAGGGATGGGGGCATCTCCACTTCCCTAGGCAGCCTGTTCCAATGCCTAAACCTTCTTTCTGTGAAGAAATTCTTCCTGATATCTAATCCAAACCTCCCCTGGCACAATTTGAGGCTGATTTCCTCATGCCCTTGTCAACCGTCTCGCTACAGCCTCCTTTCGTGTAATTGTAGAGAGTGATGTTTCCCCTCAGCCTCTTTTCTGCAGACTCTGCAAGCCACCAGCCCACCTGTGTGTTACTGCTTGTAGCCCACGTGTTCCTAGGAAAAATCCCCTCCTTCCCCACCAAACACAGCCAAAGTTCAACCATATGAATGCCATCGGAAGTAATTTTATTAAAGGGAGGAAAGAAACGGTTTCTGTGGTGATTTATGTTTTCGCAGATGCTGTTGTTTGCTTCAGTGCAAAGGAAAGTTGTGGGAGCAAGACCTGGTGCCACTAGGAGTGATGGGGTCAGTGTGACTGAGAGGCCACTAGGTAGATGCAGAAAGGATTTCCAAGGAGAATCCATGTGGTCATCAGTGCCTCCACCCCCTGCATGGAGAAAAAGAGACAGTCTCAGGTTACCCACCAGGAGGTTTTCTGCAATGTTATTTTAGGAGGATCTATCTGGTTTATGTCACGGCACCACAAGATCAGCTGCCATGGAACGTGAATGCCCCCCGAGGACCCTCCGTGCCAGCAAAGCTGGCGTCAGAGAAGTGAGAGAAGATGGTGTCAGCAGCTGTGCCTCTCAGATGTCACTCAGGAGAAAATACCAGGCGGATCTCAGTCACTGCTGAGGGGATGCCTTGCACTTTCACGTACTTCACACAGCAGGAACCTCCATTATGGCACGTTCCAACCCAGTAATATGGCCGCCGACATATCCCAGGGAAGCAGAGTCCATTTTGGAGTACACAAGGGTCGGTTGGCCTAGGGAAGAAGTGCTGACCTGCATGGTGAAAAAAAAATAATAGTTGTTTACCTCACAGGTGAGCAGAAGTGGATGCACTTTCCACTCTAATTCCTCTTCACATCTCAGAATCACAGAATCACAGAATCACAGCATGGCTGGGGCTGGGGGCACCCTTGGGTGCCCTGGTCCCCCCCTTCCCCAGCAGGGTGCCCAGCCCCATGCCCTTGGGCTCGGGGAGCTCTCCAAGGAGGCTCCCCAGGTCCGTTTCTGCAGAGCTACTTCGGGCTAGGTGCCCTTGGCTTGTCCCGTTCCTCCTCAAGGGACAGGACTTTGGGCTTCTCCTTGGTGAACCTCTTGGCACTCCTGTAGGCCCAGCTCTCCAGCCTGCCAAGGTCACAGCTTACCTGCCACCCCTTGGAGCACCATGAAGAGGACAGCCAGGAGCTGGTAAAGGATCCTCATGGCCACTGCTGAGCTGTGAAGTCCTTATCTGCAAGGAACAGAGATCACAAGATCACAAAATTCACTACATGGCCTGCTCCCTCCTGACTGGGGGAGTGCTTAAAACATGCCATGCATGACAAAACCCAGAGGCTTATAAAATACAGTGAACTTGAATGAAGAATGCAGTGGAAACTGCATCCTTGGAGACATTTAAAACCTTCCTAAATGGAAACCACATCTTCTTTGAGCAGGGATTCAGACAAGAAGTCCCCACAGTCCCTTTCAACTTAAATTGTCCTGGTATTCTGTCTACGTTAGGGGTATTGGTCTTCTTGCATTGAAAAATGATACTCCAGACCTGTACGGCACAGGACAGATCACTCTGAAACAATCACAGACCCATGAATGATTCACCTTCAACCCTGCAGTAGTTCACAAAGTGTTCAGAGACTGAATCTACTACCATCATCCTTCTGAAAGTCAGAAAAGGACTCTTGAACTCAGCCCAAAAGGGACTGAAAATTGGGCAAGTTATGTAGCTCAAGAGGCAATTTCTGATGCCTAAAGTGGATGTTTCTGGGTCTCTCTCCACTCCCTTTGGAGGTCAGCAAAACAGCTTCCTCCTGCAGTCCCTGCAAGCCACCTGTGGTTCTGCAGGACACGCACACATGGCCACACTCACTGCACTAATGAGATGGGTGGGGTTAATGAGTGCTGAATACTTGTTGGATTGAAGAGGAATGAAAGCAAAAGAAGTGGAAAAGGGGAAGGAGGTGAGGGTGCCTGTCTAGGACAAGGCACAGGAGGAGGTACCAGCAGAGGAGGTGCAGGATCACTCACCACTGCCTTCTGTCTCTGTTCTCCAGCAGATGCCCTAGACCCAAACATGCCTCTTTATATAAAATTTGGGGTTGCTGCCAGAGCAGGCACAGGCCAATGAACAAAGCCTTTCCCAGCTAGCTTTGATCTGCACTTCGGTGTCTTCCAATGAGACAGGAGGCACTGCTTTGGAACTGCTTTGACCACAAATCCCCCGATCTTGGTGCAATCCATCTTAGAGCATTTCACTTTTTGCAAGAGACGTTAAGCCACAGGGTTATGTGAAATACCTGGGAACACGCAATGACTGCTGCCTAGGTCCTGTGGGGTCTTTGTTCTGCCTTCAGCATGCAGCTTAATTGTCTAGCTTGCAACAGCAGCATGGCCATTGTATGCCTCCGTAATGTTTTGTCCTTTTCATCTTTCCTGGTTGTCTTTTGTCCATGTCAATAAAAGAATGAGCACTTCTTTCTTTTCGGCTTCTTAGTTGTATAGTTAACAGTTTATTGCATAGTAGTATATGAAATTTTAACTTAAATTCATACCACCTTTCATACCCTATCATAATGGATCACATTTCCATTTCCATTGATGCTTCTTAGAGTTTACTCTTATTTTTTTTTCTGCTGTTTCAGTGTTCTTCCTGATACAAACTTTCAATTAATCTTTCTCAGACTGTCCAGATTCTGGCAGGATAACCAGCATGCCTGCCAGCCTCATATGTATTTATCAGGTTATCTGGTCCTTGTTTCTTTGGGAAACTTCCCCAGTCCCTCATGTTACCCCATCTCCTCTGGATGCGCCCTTGCTTATCCTACTCTCTGCTCTAGAAGTTCCAACCCCTAAAACTAATGACAAACAAATCATTGTATGTGAGCCAGCAACTTAAAAAAAATCAAGCCATGCTTGATAACTTTTAGGCTTGATAGCCCATGCCTTGAGAAGTTTGTTTCTGTAGTTCAAGGATGGTGGGAAGACCCAGATGCATGCAGCAGCTGTCAGCTTGGCAGTCAGACTGTGCTGTCCTGTGTCCCACCAGGCAGGAGGTCAGGTCCTTGCCAGCTATAAAGCTATCAGATTTAGAGTTGCTTGAGTTGACTGAAAGGAAAGGCAGCTCAGATGCCCACCTTCACGTTATTTAATCTATGTTTTGGCCCCATCTCCATGGGTAAAATCTTGGTGAAGCCTGGCCTTTTGATAAAACCTGAAGCACAGACAAATATTAGTGCTGCTCATGCAGTGCTGTGGCAGAAAACACCAGGCAGCAGAGGTGATTTCCAGGCAGCTTTTGGCCAAGTCAGGTCTGGGCAGGTTTCCACAGTGTCGGCCAAGGCCACCGAACAGGCAGCAGGACATTTCCCCAAGCTGGATTTCATGATATTCTTGCTAATTGTGGATGTGCCGTAAGGACAAGCGTTGGGCAATCGTTCCAAAGGTCTGTTATCCCTTCCTGTCATTTGCACAGAGCACACGGGGAGAAGAGGATGGCAAAGAGAGGGTGGAGGATCCTTTTGGCCTGAAGCTGTCTGAGGACTCCCCGACATCAGAGGTAAGCCATAGCAGGATAGAAATGATAAATAGACACAAGGGGCTTGATTCAGTGGCCTTCACTCCAACACCCAGAGGAATTTGCAATGCTCTGGGTGAGACGGGGCTGGCAGACAAGGTTCAGGAGAGAGGAGACCAAGCCTTGCTGGAGCAGCCTGACTGGCCAGGAGGGACACAAGGACATCCCGGGTGGCACTTGCCTAAGCGTGAGCAAACGAATCGATCCCTGAATATTCACAGAGCACAGGAGTCTGTGGCATTTTGGTGATACAAAGATCTACTTTAAGCCAGCTGGGATTTAGAAGATTATTTTATATATATAGCATTTATATCTAAAACTTTGTTAGCATGACCATGTGGAAGGACTCTTCTTCTAAATACTATCTGACTTAAAGCATATATATACGCATATATATATTAGTGTGAACGTCCTAGGAGGACTGTAGAGAAATGAGAGGGTAAGAAATACCATCATTATAAGAATATGTGTAATTTTAAACAAGGAATTACTTAGTATCCTGGCTGTTATTGACTAAATCATAGATTGGGATATCTGATTATTATTTTTTTTCTATTTGTATGTTATTTAGCTAAGATAAAATATAAAGCAGGTTAGAAAAATCAGTCTTTATTTGTTAGAATACTTATATATTACAAAATAAATATAGCCATACTTTATATATATAATATAATAACGATGCTATGATTTTATGGTTCTATGATTTTATGGTTCTCTGCTATATATGTGCCTGCATGTGGTCATTAAAAGAAGAACACAATTTAAATGCTGCAATATCCCTTGAAGCATCATGGAGAGAGAAAAGTAAATTAGAAATACAGCTGTCAAGGTATATCTGGTATACAATTAATGCATGGATTATGTATATTTAATTACTAAGGTACAGGTTGGGCTTAATTAGTAAGATACAGGTAAAATACTGATACTTTTTATGATCTTGGGTAGCCAAACTGATATTTAAAGTCAATAACAATATACAGGAGTTAAAATAGCAGATAGTTTAATCACCATATTTAAGAAATTTAAAGTAAATTTGCCAACAAGTATAACAACAGGTACAGGTTGCCCAGGGAGGTTTTGGTGTCTCCCTCCTTGGAGATTTTCAAAAGCCACCTGGAAGTAGCCCATCCTGGACGTGGCCTCCAACCTCAGCCACTCCATGATTCTGCGTGCTTCTGTGAATTCATGAGCTGAAGGTTTTGTCCCAGTATTGGCAGCACAGGGGAACACTTTGGCCTAAACATATTTGGCTTGTTGGCTTCTAGGAAGTGATGTTTCAGCTGCTGGGAAATGCCATGAGAAGCCCAAGTCATTGGCTGGCCAGTCTGTGGCAGCTTTGTCATCAGCAGGAATATATAAACCCCGTTGTTTTGGGGCAAGGCATCACCCTGTGAAGCTGAGCACCCCACTAAGAGGAACCAGGTAGGACAGACCAGCCAGAGTGGCCCCTCTCCATGTGTTACCTACTGATGCCTCAAGTCCTCTAGGATGAGCTGAAGAAAATTGATAAAGAGAAAAAATACATATCTTTTTTTTTTTTTTTTAATATCCTATGCTTATCTAAAATGAAATTCGTCATTCTAAGGTGTCTGCTTCTGCAGCTTAATTAAAATCTTATGGACAATGAAAACTATGATACTTGATATTTGATCAATGCATTTGAATTATTATTGTAGTCAATAATGATGATTCTGTATGATTATAGTGGATTGTATCATTTGCAAAATTTAATTAGAGCCTGCAGGAAGGACTGATGCTGGGGAGATGCTTTGAGGCTTTCAGCTGGTGTATGTTATAGAGGTGTTATGGAGAGAAGGAATAGACGTCTCAGCTTTTTCTGTAAAAATATTTTCAAGGACTTGCTTTTGTAGGTTTGTAAGCTACAAAAATTATTATTATTTCTACAATTAAAATTTCTGAGTGTTCATTATCCAGAGAAATTAGAATCGTTTAAGTCATTATCTACACATCCCTGAGTCAAAATTTGTGATAATTAAATAAAACGGGCACTTTTGTCATTCATCATCTTGCCATAAACATGCAGCACCATACCCTATAGGCTCCCATGTAGAAAGTTAATTCTGTCCCAGCCAGACCCAAAAGAGTTGCTCAAAAAGAAGGGAAAAAAAAAAAGAGAGAGAGAATAAAACTGCAAATAGAAGTATTGATGCTTTTGTTTATGTGGCAATGTTCTATATAAGTTATAAAAGACACCTAGAAAAAATTGCTTAATAAGACTTGGAAGATTTTTATTTTATTTTTATTTTATTTTATTTTATTTTATTTTATTTTATTTTATTTTATTTTATTTTATTTTATTTTATTTTATATCTTATGTAAGTTATAACATTCAGGGTCTATGAAATACGAATGTAGGAGGCATTGATGTTGGCTGTCTTTGCATGCAATGGAGAGAAAATCACTATATACATTTTATTCTTTTAAGTTTTAAGAGAATAAAATATATTTCCTTCATCTTATGAACTGAACTTTAAAAGTATATCTTTAAAATATATTTAACTTTAAACTTTAAAATGAACTTTAAAATATATCTTTCTTCAGAAAGTGGTATTTCAATAGATTGATTCTAGAACACTTACTCAACTGCATAAATGTCAACTTTTATTTACAAATTGCGGCTTATATGTCATACATAATATTGGGGTCAAGTAATGGCCAATGCACCTTTTCCTGTGCTTTTTCCTAGTAGCTGTTGTACCTTGTGCCACTGCATTCGGACATGAAGATCATTTACCTTTTCTTTGCTGTGCTCCTCCTAGTGCTCCAAAGCTCTTTAGGTAAGAGATCCATAAAGGCAGAGGAAACCCTGAGGGGATTTGGTGAGTATGGAAAGGGTAAAGTAGAAATAGAAATAAAATGGGTTTAAATCTTGGGCTACTTCTGTAGTAGTCAAACACTCCATGTGTGATATCCTCTTTTGGATATGAAGAGAATTTAATGGTGTGAACGTGGCCAGACCATAGGCAGACTAAAATATTATTGTCATGCTACAGCCCTGACTCATACTTAGTCTTCTTTGGGAAGGCAAATCAAGTCTCAGCTTCTTTTCATAGGTTTTATGCGAGCACCTAACAACGCCGTGCAATGCAAGCAGGCTGGGGGTACCTGTTCCACAGACCACTGCCCCCCACCCAATACAAGAGCCTTTGGACGGTGCAAGCAGGGGATCCCTTGCTGTCGGACTGTGGTGAGTTGAGGATTTGATGAAGACTGGGTGTTTCATGGGGGAATGGGTTCATTACTCACTTTAACACATCCAGTCTGCCCTTGGATATGAAAGCTCCCAAGGGAGCAGGGACTCTACATTCAGAGGATTTCCCAAAGGTTTCCTCGCTTGCTCCATGTGTAACACACAGGGTCAATAACGATGCAAAACTTAAAAAAAAAAAAAATCTAATACCTTACCAGAATTTATAAGTTTCTTCTACATATTTATTCCAATACAAAGCAAAAAAATGCAAAAGTACACTCTGCTTCTACTGTTTCTAATACTTAATTTTCTGCTTCTTTCTGCTGCAAGGTGTTGTAGCTAGTCGTGGTTTTGGACACTCATTTAAACTTTGTTCAATAGTAATGGCAGAGACATTAAAAATAAAGAGGGAGCAACAGATTTATATAGAGAAATTCCGTATCTCCATATCAGAGACTTCAAGATGCAAAAGAAGCTTGAGGTAAAGAAGCTTCTTTACCCATGCTGCCCAGGGAGGTGGTGGAGTCACCATCCCTGGAAGTCTTCAAAAGACGTTTAGATGTAGAGCTTAGGGATATGGTTTAGTGGGGACTGTTAGTGTTAGGTCAGAGGTTGGACTCGATGATCTTGAGGTCTCTTCCAACCTAGAAATTCTGTGATTCTGTGATTCTGTGATTTCATTATTAAGTAAAATAGAAAGGTTTTCTATTACGTTATTAAAAACATTACAATTTAGCAGCAGAAAGACTTCAGAGATCCTGCTAAGAATTCCTGAGTTATCCAGGAACATTTTTGCTCTCAGTGCTTGGTGCTGTCAGTTCCTTTTTTTTTTTTTTAATTATTATTGTTTATAACATAATCTGAAAGTTTCTTTTCTCTTTTGCAGTATGACTAGTGTTTTCCAGTATCTTAGACCAGCTAAGCAGATCTTCTGGCAATGAGAGATATCATCCCTTTAGAAAATCTGGAATTTGGGGCTGAAAATATGGTTTTCACACACACACACACACATATGCAAACACACACAAACCCCAAAACACAAACAACAGAAGAATGACAACAAACACCTCAGCAAACAAACTGAATGGCTTGAAAAGACTCTGAAAGTGATCATTGGACTGCCCAGAAAAGACTCTTTTGCTTTTTTTTTTTTTTCTAAAATAAAATAGTTTCTTAACAAAACTGCACTGCATCCCAAAGTGCAGATTATCGGCATGCAGAAGTCTGTCCCCATGAGAGGACACAGAACAGGTTCTTGCCTTGGCATCCAGAACAGATGCTCGTGTTTTTTCTTTTATATTTAATAGTAATAATGGGATTGGCACTGAAAGATAAAGTCTCCAGGAGAGACTGAATGCACAGCTGAGGTTTTCAAATTTCATGGTCTACATATCTCTACAAATTTTAATAAACTTGCTCCAGAAGACTTGCATCTGGTCCTTATACCTGCAAGGAATTGTCTTGGTTTGTGTTTTTGCTAGAAGATCTGGCTCCCATCTCAGCCAGGATTAGTGTGATATGGGGTAAAGTTCTTCAGGAAACCAAACCCATATACAGACAGTAGCACGGCCTGATCCTCTTCCTTATAAGATTTACTAGCAACAGTGAGGGATAACTTCCCCAAACACACTGTGATTAGGCTAGCAAAAAAATGGAACAAGGGGCCGTGTTCGGGGCACATGGCAGTCCAAAACCAGCTCATAGCATCTGATGGGATGGAAAGCATGGATTCCTTTAGCCATCCCTCATCTCAAATCCTTTTGCCCTGTGTTCTGGGATGCTGGGGATGGGAAGGGGAAGCAAGGCACGCTTCTATACCTCATAACAACAGGTGCTGAGACCCCAGGATGATGGACATGCATCCAGAGAGCACAGCCCTGTGCTAAATAGTTTGGCTCATTAGGATCCCACTAATGTGATGCTTGTCTAGACCAAATAAAGGTAACAGGAGCAGAATCAGATAGATGTGGCGAGGCAGTTTTAAGACCTAAAGAAGCTGGCCTTCTGCCATGCTCGGGTTTCTCTGCATTGCCATTTCCAGCTCTTCTCGCTGGGTTGGCAGGTGATGGAGAACTGGATAACTTCTGAACCCCACCTTGGTTTATGATTTACCCACATGTACGTTGCCACACACAGGCTTCTGCAACCCAGACACTCTGCAGGATGATTTAACAGGACTCAATGACACATGTACTTGAATTAACTTAATTTAGTTAAATAAGCTTCATTTACAAGTTGATTTTTTTTTTTAGACAATAATAACAAAAACCACCCTGACATACACGAGCAAATGTCAGCAATGTGGTTTCACAGTGTCTTGCTTTTATTAGAATTGAAGCTGCAAATCTCTATCAGGGCTACAAGAACTCCTCCTCACATCTTCTCGTGCTCCCAGGAGTCTTCACCACATGGGAAAGGCTCCTCAGGTTTGCACCAAGGCTGGGATCCATTGATGTCAGAAGACTGGAGATGTCTCAGGTTCCCAGAGCTCTTGTCTGCCTGGTCAGTGAGGTGTAAATTTAGGAACTGGGTGTCCTGCAAAGAGAAATGAAGTGCTTAGCTATTCTGCCTGTATCTGTCCAAACAAGTAAATGATGCTTTCCCATTTCAGGCTGGTGTAGAAATATGGCAACACATGGGGTTTGACAACAGGAGATCCGTGGGATCTGGAACTCTGCTCTGTGCTCACAGAATCACAGCACGGCTGAGTCTGGGCGCACCCCTGGGTGCCCCTGTCCCCTCTTGGGGCACCCCTGGGCCCAGCAGTGCTGCCTGAGGGGCAGGAGGAGCCGCCGGGGCTCCAGGCTGGGCCCGGGGCCTCTGGGCCTGGCCCTGGGCACCGCTGAGCAGAGCCCGGCTCCGGCCTCTCTGCACCTCCCTGCGGGTACTGACGGCCATGGGGGAGCTCCCCCGGAGCCTCCTCTGCTCCAGGCCCAGCAGCCCCAGCTCTTGCAGCCTCTCCTCACAGCACGGGGGCTCTGGGCACGGCAGCACCCTAGGGGTCCCCCACTGGGCCCAGGTCTCTTGGTGCTGAGGGCCCAGGACTGGTCCCAGCACTCCAGGTGCTGCCTCCCCAGTGCTGAGTAGAAGGGCCATAAGACAAACCAGATAAAATGGAGGGTGTGGATGTTCCCACTCAGCACACACCACAGTTTGCTGGCTGCAGCTGCTGCTGACCCAAAACGCCTGACAGGCATATGTCTTAAGAGTAAAACTAATTTATGAATAAAGAGCGGTTGATCCTTTCCCTTTCTTCCATCCCCTCAGATGTGTGATAAGGCCTCTCACTTCTATTGTATCCTTCAACAAGATGTTTCACAGAAAGCCAATTCAATTAAATATTAAGGCAAATAATTAAAAATAAAATTACTTAAACAAAGCAAAAACTACAGAAACAACAGATTTATAATATCCAAAAGCGTGTGGATCTGTTACAGCTCCTTTGATATGAAATGCCACCAACTGCAGAGTTGGACCATGACTTATTACAGCATCGCTCCGTATGGCACAGCTCCTATAGGTGCAGAAGCTTTCTAAAGTTGCAGAGGAAAAAATGTTGTACTTCTACAGGGTGGAAGATCTCCTACAGTCTAATTTAATCTAATATCTGGCCCTCTTACCCAATAAAGCAAAAAACTCATGGAGAAAACAGCCCTCTTGCTGCAAACACAGCCAGCTCTGGCAAACTCCAGCTCCTTCCCTGCTCATCACCAAGTTCTCCCTGTGGCTTTTTCAGAGAAAGCAGACTGGCATTTTTCTTTGCTGCTTCTCTAGCTACCTACAGGAAATGTGACATTCACTGTGGTTATGTTTTATTTCATCTCTGAAACATGAAACCATTTGGTGCACCAGAGACCGAATAATATAGAATGCCCATTGGCTTCAAAGATGAAGGAGGCAGGACAGGACATTCCTTTGAAACTAAATTTCCTAAGGGTTGGGAAAGGCTAATTCAGTATCAGCTCCACGGATCTATGTGCTGCCTGAACAGCAAATATTCTGTTTAATTCCACAAAGCTCCATTTTTCTGTTATCAGCCAAAAGCCCAGCAATTAGATTTGTTTTTTGTTTGTTTGTTTGTTTGTTTTTAACTTTTTTGGAGGACATAAGAAGCAGGAGAAGGTGTCCTGCATGCCAAAGAGAATGAAAAGCCCAGTAAATCTATTTGTACTTGCATGAGCATTGCACTGGAGGAATTCATCTTACCATTTGCAGCATTTCAGCTTCCCATTGCGGCAGGTCCCAATGTCAACCAGAGGACCAGAGCATGCAATAAAAGAGCAGGAGCCATGGCTTTGCCGGCATGCTACGGTGTCAGCATCTTCTTGGCTGTAAGCTGAAAAAAAATCAAGGGAAAATTCATGTTCATTTGTCAAGTTTCAGGATAAGGAGAGTTGCATCATCAAATTAACCAGGCATAGTATGTGATATCATGACATAGCGCTTGGCATGCAGGTTTGTGATTGGGGTAACTGAGGTCTTTACATCCATATAAAATGCAAACTAGCTAGAACAGTGGGCTGTAATGTCTGGAGAAACAGTCTACTTGATTAGCAATGACACATAACTTCTAGCTTCTTTAGCATTTCTCCTGGAGACATGTGCTTGTCTTTCCAGTTACACACAGGAATACTACAGTATGTGAAAAAAACATAGGAAACACAGAAAGAAAATAAAAACAAAAACAAAACAAACAAAAAAACAACCTTGAAATGAATCTCATATTATCCCCAAAATGTGATGTTATTCAAATTAAAATGTATTAATTTGACCTTTTCAGGCTTTTTCAGCAAATGCAAAGCATATTTATGATTCATTATCATTATCTGCTGCTTTCAATAGCTTTCTGCATGCTTACAGGAAAGGTTGCCAAGTAAGATTTTATTTTTTTTTATTATTTTATTTTATTTTATTTTATTTTATTTTATTTTATTTTATTTTATTTTATTTTTTTGCTAAGGATTTGTGATGCAGTTCTGTATATACTATAAACTAAAGCCAGTGACTATTCTCACTAGTGTTGTGTATGGTTTTAGCTAGGTGCTATGCTGATTTTACCATGCTCAATATGTTCAGAACTGAAGAACCAAATGCCCAGGTATTGTCAAACTCTGCAGCTCCATCTTCATCTGGGCAGCTGCCTGGGCTTATCCCAGATAAAGTGCTAGCCCCAAGAGTGGGTTCAGAGAGCTTCCAGGTTAAACATTACTTGTTCCAGCTGGGATGTTCAGGCAGAAATTCAATGTGTGTTCTTTTTATATGCTTTAAATGGATCTCCTACAAGTGCTTGCTCTTGGTCTAAGCAATTCTACATCCATTCACTGAGTAGACTGGCATTTGCTGGTCTAGGAAAGTAAGTACAAATTTGAGTCTACTGTAAACAGTGGGGAAAGATTAAATTTCTCTGAAGACCCCATGCCAGTCTGGAATGATGCATATGCTCCAAACCCATTTAATGCACATGGACAATAGAGTTCAGGCAAAGCCCCACAGTCTCAACTAATTATTTTTCTTCCTTTTTTTTTTCACATTACAGTGTGGGACACATTGCTGGGTCTTAAGCTCTAGAGAGCTGCCTGAATACACAAGAGGAACATCTTTTTGCTATCATGCCATCAGACAGCTGGACATGGGATGGATAAGGCTAGAAAGAGACCACCAGCAAGACTATCAAGGACCTTGACTCAGTAAGTTAAAGATTAGGGCTACAACTGGGGAAGTGGACTCTCAAGTCCACTCAGCAAGTCTACTCAGAGCCCAAGAGCAGAGAGGTTAGAACTTCTCTGCACATTAGCCTCCATATCACCTATTTTCTCTCTTACCTGGAGCAGCCTGGAAGATGAAGAAGAGAAGAGCGACAAGGAAGAAAAGGATTCTCATGATTGCCAGCTGGGGATAGTCTCTGCAGGCGTGAAGACACCTGAGGATGGATGGAAGCGATGAATGAGGCAGAAGATGGTTACTGCCCGTACTTATAAAGGCTCTGGGATTGAGCAGCGCAGACAATTAGGGGGTGGAGGAGTGGTTGTCTGTAGAACAGAGAGTTCATTGCCCTATCACTATAGAGATTGGTGATGTATGAATATGTTGCAACCCCACACATTCAAAGATGCCTGACCTGAACGATGACCAAACCATGTTAGCTGACCTGAGGAGCCAAAACACCCTGTGCTCGCCTGCCTGGTGCCAGCTGGTGGGCTGCACCCGGGCAGGACACAGGATTGGAGGAGGAGAGAGGTGGGTTTCCATGACCCACAACACTGTAAACCGTGCAGATTTGCTGATGCCCCGTGGCTCTTGGCCATGGTGTTGTGACAGACTGTCCTCTCCCCAGCCATAAGGCACTGCTAGCGTAGCAAGGCTGCACAGAACTGGGAGGCAATGGACCCTCCTCTTTTTATGGAGGAGTGGGTCAGAGCTTCTGTCCTCACTGGGATAGGAGTTGTAGGGCT